GGAACTCAATCCTGGAAGCCATTTGGTGTGAAGTTCCATTGTTTTGTTTCCCTCTGCTCACTGATCAATTTACTAATCGAAAATTAGTAGTCGATGATTGGAATATCGGACTTAATTTGTGCAATAAAAATCCAATTACTAAGGTTGAAATTTCAGAGAAAATACACAATTTTATGTACGGAAATTTAAGTGATGAGTGTAGAAATGCAATTAAGGAAGTGAAGAAAACGTTAGAGAATAATGCATTAAGAGCTGAAGGATCATCAGAGAGAAATTTAGATAATTTCATAGGAAGAGTATTTAAATAAAATAAGTTTGAATTTATTGAAATTATTACATGAATTGGTATTCATTCGAGTTTTACGATATTATTAATCATATGTGATTGCTTTTTTTTTTCACACTTTATTTGGAATTTGGATGGTCATCATAATGTATTGTAATGTGAACTGTGGTGTATTGCAAATTGCAATGTATTGTTTCAATAAATATAGTGTTTGAATAGATTGTATTGTCATACATCTTGAATGATAAACTTATAATAAAAGTAGGAGTTTTTGGCCAAAAACATTCTTTAACTACTCCTAACTTAAATTACATCATTAAATTATTCTTCTTAACAAAAAAACATCCTTCAAGTATTTTAAACTTTAACAACTTCCATCCTTTTGTTAAAATTTGACAAAAAATTAACAGAATTCCTACAAAAATATGTGTAATTTATATTACTCTCGGCAAAACTCCCTAAATCACCAAAGATTAAAAAATCTTTTCATTCGATCCGTGATACATCTAAAATATTGTGAATTCTTTTTGGCAACAACACTTGGCATTATGCAGATCCTTTTATTAGCAACTTTGTTTTAATTTATTTTTCATTTGATTTGATATTAAAAAATTACCAATTGAAATATTTTTTTTCTCTTTGAAACTGCAAGAAATGGTGGTCACCTGAGACTTTTACTTTTAATAATGGAGAACAAAATTCGAGTGCCATATATGAAATTCAGAATCTTGATCACTTCAAATATCAAATGCCCCAAATAATTATTGATCTACTTACATTTTGTCTTTACAGAAGGTGAAAATGATGTGAAATTAAGCTTCAACTTCGTTAAGTTGGTAAAGGAGGAGAAGAGCATATCATGTCTCTTTGCAACACCATTCTAACTTAATTTCTTTTTAGCAAATAAGAGTGCTTTTTCCAACCAATAATGAAATTATATGGGAAATTTTTTATGGAGAGCAATGTGACCTGCACATATTTTTGTGTAAAATTCATTAATTATTTGATTAAAAAATTTAAATTAAGGGTATAGTTTATGAGTGTTTTTGGTAAAAAATTCTAAAAATAGAGTAAGAGGAAGAACTAATATAAAAATGTTGTATAAATAATATGTGATTATTTTAAAACAAGTTGTAAGGTAATGTTGGGATTTCAAATCATATGATATTGTTAAACAAATCATAAGATTTGCATTTCTTTAAATAATTGAATTGAAAAAGGATAAATTATCTTCCCGATGAACAAAGAAGTTTTAATCATCAGTTTGATCGATTTTTATATATCATCGACTTGGTTCGATTGATTTATCTTTCCTTAGTAGTAGTAATTTCAAAGCTTTAATTTCTTCATTCATGGCGGAATCAAACGAAAACGTACCTGCTCAAAAATTGCCGCTCGAAAATCGGGTAGCTATCGTTACCGGATCTTCTCGCGGCATCGGAAAAGCGATTGCACTTCATCTAGCTTCTCTCGGTGCTAAGCTCATCATCAACTATTCCTCCTCAAACTCCACTACTCTAGCCGACGACGTCGTTTCTCAAATCAATTCTAATAAATCCATGAATAATTCCGCCGTATCTGCCGTCGCTGTCGCCGTTAAAGCTGATATCTCAGATCCAGACTCAGTGAAATCCCTATTTGACGCAGCTGAATCAGCTTTTCAATCTCCGGTCAACATCTTAGTGAACTCCGCCGCCGTGTGTGACGAAAAGCATCCAACGATCATGAATACAGATCTCAACGATTTCGATTTGACTTTTAGCGTGAATACTCGTGGATCCTTTTTATGCTGTAAGGAAGCTGCGAACAGAATGATCAAACGCCGAGGCGGAGGAAGGATTATATGTGTGACGTCATCTGCGACAGCGTCGTTTCGGGCTGGGAACGGTGCGCAGGGGCGGATCTATAGTGTGTCCAGGGGGGTCATCCGACCCCCCTCGGAAAAAAAAAATTACACTATATATATAAGATCAATTTTTTGTGTACGTGTATATATTTAAAATTGAACCCCTGAGCATATGTCAAAGGAGTAGCTCAGTAGTTTATGGGGGTCAGGATTCAGCCTATGTGAGCTTTGGGTCACGGGTTCGATTCCAGGCAACAACTTTTTTTATTATTTGAACCCCCTTGATAGAATTCCTGCCTCCGCCACTGACGGTGCGTACACGGCGTCGAAGGCGGCGGTGGAAGCAATGGTGAAAATACTGGCGAAGGAACTAAAAGGAACAGGAATAACGGCGAATTGTGTGGCGCCGGGACCGATAGCGACGGATATGTTTTTCAATGGAGCAACGGAAGAGAAAGTGAAGAAGGTGATTGATGAGTGTCCACATGGAAGACTTGGTCAGTCGGAGGATGTTGCTCCGGTCGTCGGATTTTTGGCCGGCGATGCTTCTGAATGGGTGAATGGACAGATTATTCGTGTCAATGGCGGTTACATCTGATCAGTTACATCCTTAGTTGCATGCGAGATTTTTCTGTAGTGTTGGTTTTAACTTATTAACACGTTGAATAAAGTTGTTCGTACTCCTTTGTTACTCCCTCAGGTTACTTTTACTTATTTCTTGTGATTTTTGAAAGCCAAATTATATTTATTTTGATTAATATTAAGTTGTATTTTTTTCATGATACTAATATTAAAAAAATATATAACTTGCAGGTATGTTTCACGTAGTTTTCAATTATTCAAATTTAAAATTTAAATAAAAACTAACCCAATTAACTCTAGTAAAATAGAATATGTGACAATAAAAATAAAAGAATGAAATTATCATTTCTTGTGTTGAATTTCTTAGATAATACTTCCTCTTCCTCTGTCCACTTTTAATTGTCATGTTGCGTTTTTCGAAAGTCAATTTAAGTAATTTTCAAAGTTACATTCGATTACATTAATTCGATATTTTAAATAGAAAATTTTGATATTCAAAAACTATACGAATAATACTATAAATTCTAAATTTGCGTATCAATATGATGAAAAAATACATTATAAAATATTAATCAAAGTTATTACTATCCTTTAACTCTAAAAAGGGAAATTGTAACAATTAAAAGCGGACGAATATAGTAATTATTGTGGGACAAAAAGATTTTGCTAATTATTGGGTGATGTGAAGGATACAAATTCCAATGAAATATAATACTCCAAAATCAAAACAAACTTGTAAAAAAAATTACTCCCTTCATTCACTTTTATTTATTTTAAAAGAAAAGATATAAAGTGACACATAAAGTTGTTTCAAATTTTTAAAAATACATTTTAATTTTGCGGTCGTCTTATTACTCCACAAAATATTTCAGAATCACAATAAATACACACTTTTTACACAATCTGCATTCTTAGTGCTTGAGCGTGAATCTCACCCCAATTAATAATATAATTACATATTTTTTCCAATTTATTTAGTAAAAATTGAATAAAATCTTGACCCATTCACATTTTAATCATGACCACTCCATTTAACCCTAAACCCCTTTTAGATTTTCACTCCACTCTCTCTCTTTGATGATCAAAACCTTAAAGCATGTCAATAGTCACAATAAATTTATTTTGCGGAGATAATTTCTTGAATTATGGAGTCAAAACGAAAAAGTGAAGGCTCACATGTTAATTGTTTCTTGATTTGAATGCAATTTTTTGTTAAAAAATGTTCTTTCTATATAGTAGTGATTTTTTGTAAAATAATTTTATAGTGATTTGTTGTTATTTTGTTTTTGTGTTATCTATTATTCATGTGTATGTAGTGTTAGTTTAGGACTGATTTGAGTTTGAATGTTTCTTCACTAATTTAGTTTTGAAATTTGTCTGCAATTGCACTTTCAAGATTTACAAATTAGTTGATTTCATAACTTTTAAATAAAATAAAAGGAAGAAATTGAAGCTAGTAAAACTAGATGATAAATTCATTGAGGATGGGGAATTTTTTTTTTTTTTTTGGTTGTAGATGGAAAACTCTTCAACATCTATCAATGGAGGTTTTGAAGAAGATGGAAAGTGGGTCTTTTAGTAAAGAAGAAAATTCAAATTGCTAGTGCCACATGATATTTTTACATTGGTTTGGGATGTATTTTTACTCCTCCACGCGCCTATCATATGTGAGAACACAGCTATTGTGAAAATGGGTCAAAAGTGTTTATTTATTGTGATTTGAAATAGTTACATGGGGTATATGTAATGGGACGCCCGCAAACTTTAAGTGTCTTTTTAAAAATTTAAGACAACTTCAGATGTCATTTTATGTTTTTTCTCTTATTTTAATGTATTTCAAAAATATTTTTTACTTTCTTTGTTATTTTTAACTAAACAATAATAATATCTTGTTTCTATTTTACTTTTAACATCTCTAAATAATTCTCATGATTTAAAATTACATAAGTGTTTTAATAAAATACATATTAATTATTGTTCTTTAATAAGGATTGTAAAATCCAAAATAAACGAGTAAATGTGAATACTTTGACTTCAAAAGATTGGAGGGTAACCTCAATCCAGAATGAAAACAAAAGAAAAAATAAGTATAAGTTTGGCTTCCAATTTAGTGTAAGCAAAAATAATAATAATAATTAATTGATGAGTAGTTTTATCTTTGACTAACTATAATACATGCAAAAAATAATTAATTCTCTTTTCCCCAATTTATTTGGTGTTTTTTTTTTCATTTCCCCACACCCTCCTCCCAATTTAGCATTTGTTCCTCTCTTTTTCTTCATTGACATGGTTATTGATAGAGAGCATGCTCATGTTGCTTTTGGTCTTTTTGGTTAGTTTCCTCTATTTCTTAAGTTGTTGGGTGATGAAAAAAAAAGTTTCTTGGACTCACTTTCTATCTTTATTGTTTGAACTCTTCAAAAATACAGTGTTACCTGTGTCGGATCCTCTAAAAGTGCACTAGTTTTAAAGGATCCGACAAGTACACTTTTAGAGGATCCGACACGACAGGACGCGCGTGCCCACTGGCGCTTTTGAAGAATTAGAGCAACATAGTTTTCTACCCTATCAAAAACAATTATATACACAAATACACTCGCTGAATTTTTTTCTCACTATGTTTTGTTGATATGAATTTTGGTATGTTTATTTCAGGAAGCATCAATGCATTCATCTTGTTGCTTTCACCCTTGTAAGCAAGCTATATACATGTTTCTCCATTTATTGAGTTCTCAAGATAATTTAAAGGATGTGTGTGTCTATATGGCTTGAACTTTTTTCGTTATGTCTTGTTTACTTATATTCTACCTTAAAATCTGCATACACTTTACCCTCTCCAGATTCCACTCTGTGGCATTACATTATATTTGTTGTTGTTGTCTTGTTACTTATAGTCAATGACAAATCACTCTTGTTTGGGACCGAAGCATAGTAGTTGTTAAATTTATTTAATATCCAAGTGAAATAAGCAAATTAGTACTCCCTCTGTCCCAATTTATGTGATACTTTTTATTTTTCGAGAGTCAAACAGTTTAAGTTTGATCAGGAATTTGCGCATGGAATTTTCAACTTTTTTTAAAATGAAATTTATATATTTGTAAACTAAGTAAAAAGTATTATAAGTCACAATAATTGATAATTCAACATGTCTAAAGATCTATAAAAAAAATAAGTCAAAGATAGACTTGTTTGAATCTCGAAATCTGAAAAGTGCCACGTAAAATGGGACGGAGGAAGTAATTAATCTAAACTTGTTCACCTCTTGCTCATTAACTTCTTAAACTTCTTTTTAGGCCTACATTTATTCATATGTGGAAGAAGAAATCAGTGGAGAAATTCTCACCATTTCCATACATTGTTGCATTCCTAAACTGTGGCCTTTGGCTTTTATATGGACTTCCATGGATTCAACAACAAGGAAGCCTTCTTATCATGACCATTAATAGAATTGGACTTGCCATTGACATGGTGTACTTGATGCTATTTGTGTTGTACTCTAAAAAGGAAAAAAGGATGAAAATTTTCTTCATCATCTTAAGTGAAATTGTGTTCATTGGTTCACTTGCCATTCTTGTCATAACTCTTGTCCATTGCCACAAAAAAAGATACACAATTGTTGGTACTATTTGCATGGTGGCAAATATTTTGATGTATGCTTCTCCTTTGACCATCATGGTAAATATATAATTTCCTTTTTTACATACTTAATGTTTTTTCTAGAATGTTCACTAAATGAATTCAACAAAAATAAATTGACTTTATATATATATATATATATATACCAGCGAAGGGCCAGGGTTTCAGATAGGTCCCCTTTGCATCCCTCTTAGCTCCGGCCTTAGCATATGTGTGAGATTTATATGTCGGTAGAATATATAGAGAACTTTTGATACTTTTTACTATTGTAGAAATTGGTGATAAAAAACAAGAGTGTGGAGTACATGCCCTTCTATCTTTCCTTTTTTACGTACTTAATGATTTTTTTAGAATGTTCACTAAATGAATTCAACAAAAATAAATTATTTTTCAACGAAGGGCCAAGGTTTCAGATTGTACTTAATGATTTTTTTAGAATGTTCACTAAATGAATTCAACAAAAATAAATTGACTTTATATATATATATATATATATACCAGCGAAGGGCCAGGGTTTCAGATAGGTCCCCTTTGCATCCCTCTTAGCTCCGGCCTTAGCATATGTGTGAGATTTATATCTCATTAGAATAAATAGAGAACTTCTGATACTTTTTGCTATTGTAGAAATTGGTGATAAAAACCAAGAGTGTGGAGTACATGCCCTTCTATCTTTCCTTTTTCTCCTTTCTATGCAGCATAAGTTGGACTGCTTATGCCATCATCAGTGTCGACTTCTACCTTCTTGTGAGTATTTTTCACTTACTGTCAACGTATATAAGTTAAGTTAAATTCTTCTTGATTGCTCTAAATTTTTCACTTCTTTATTTCAGACAGCAAATGTGATGGGAGCAATGCTGGGGCTAGCACAACTAATGCTTTATGCCACCTATTACAAGTATACTGGGAGACAGATAACAGAAAGACAAACTCAAGGAAAACTGGACCTGGTTGAGAAGACAGTCTCTGGAGCGGCCCAAAAGGCGAGCAACGAGGCTGCGCTAGTGTTTAACTTAATGTTTGGAAGGCCCATATTCTAATGATTTTGAGTCATTAGCTCAACGTCAATGGGCCCATTTTCCTTTCGTAGCACCCACCCCCACGCCAACCCCGCGCCCCTCTTCAGTATAGGAACAAAGACAAGAAATAACAACAAATAGAAGCAACAGCCTTCACCTACTGCTACTGTGCTACAGATAATATCTTTGTTCCTTTATCTTGATTTAAACTTTGTGGTGCACATGACAGCTAAAAGTCAAATGAACATTGGGTCTAACTTAACCCCAAATAGTTCACGAGCTAGTATTACTCAAGACCATATAAAGAGAAAACAATCTCATCCCACACCCTAATGTAGGGCTCTCAGTACCCTCGCCCCCAGGACTGGATATTTGAAGCATGAACAATATAATATGGATGCTCAACATCGAGTAAGCCTAGAACAGAGATGGGTATGACTCTGATAATATGATAAGAAATGGACCTTGCGCTGGGTGAAATCACAAATATATTAAATTCTTCCATACTAACATTTCTTGCCATTCAAATTATGCTATTTACTGTGGCATATGTAATAATTTGAGCTCCTAGTTCAGCTCTTGGATGATCAAGGACAATAATCTGTGCAAATAGAGATATCGAAAATTACCAAAACTATACACATGTCCAGAATTAAACAGGAAAGAACACTAGATCACTCTGCTTTCTTCTGCAAATATCTGCACGTACGATGGGGAAACCAACATAAACACAAATGAATGATTGGTAGCATATATTTGCAAAACATATACTCGTAAAATTGCAACTGTACACACAAAACAAAGTAGTAAAGTTAGGGTAATCGCTTACCCTTGACTCTTTGCCCAACGTGATAACTGATAAAGTTGCACGGTCTCATTCGAGGCATGGGATACCATTAGTAGATAATTACGAGGCTGTACCATCCATGCAAATCTCATGAACAGTGCAGAATACACACACATTACTGCATTATCAGAAAGAAGAAGAAGATAAATGTATTAATCGTTAAAGCCAGCATCTGTTTAAACAGAAAAGTCCTATACCTGAGGTCATGTTGCGTGATATCATTTCTGGAGGTTTCTGTGTGTCTACGAGTCCCTGCAATGTACGTAAAGATAACTCATGTACAACATCAACCAAAAGAAACAAACATCATGTTATAATATTATGTATTCTAGATAAGTGTACAGCAATGATAAATCCCCAGTTGCCTATGGGACCCCAAAAATGAGTTGTTTTGGGGCCAACAGGACTGTTCAAAAATGCCTTGAAGCTAGCCATACACGATACACTGTGTTGAATTTCCTGCAATTTAACACAGTTATTCAGTATTCGAAGTCAAAACACAAGATATCAAGTTACAGAAATCTGACTTTGCTAACATACCAGCGGCAGAAGCAGCAAAAACAGAACACATAGCAATTGAGCGCGAAGATTAAGCAGTTAAATGAATTCGAATAGAGTTGGAACTAAAACAACTTCAATATACAACCACAATCAACGCGAGAAGTGCATCAAACCAACATTGATAAGAAAATTTGTTGACTAAAAACAACGTTTCAAAAATGTGGATCAAAGCTGTTACAATAACCAATTTCTTATATGCAATGATTAAAATCTAACATAACCAAATCTTCTGAGTCAATCTTAATCAACAGCATCAAATATGTTTCAATCACAAGCTAGTAGTGGTCGATTATATGGATCTTCACTATCTATATTGTTTCATCTGAACAAGTTTTCATTCTACTAATCAATACCTATGGACATGGTTCTCTAACATTAGCAGTTTTCAACATTTTCTAATGACTGAATTGACTAGTTTTACATCGATCGTTAGCCTAGTGCTATCCTCCTTATTTATCCAGGCGCGAGACTGACAATTTAAGTGGACTCTCATACAGGAACAACTAAGTGATTGCAATTGCAATTTTCACAACTCCCTCACAGTGCTCAGTTTTACAACTTATTGATTTACAAAAGTTCCATTTGTTTTAGAAATCAAGTCAAAATCAATTACTACCATCTTATATGTATCTTTTTTCCTTCTTTTTTTTTTCTTTTCAATTTTACTTTTTCTTATTCATTTGTTTATGTAACTATGTTTTTTTTAAAATTCAATAATCACACATTTTTAGTACATCTTTTTCTGTTCCTTAAACGTTCCTAACATAATGCTAAACGATGTCTTTTACTCTCTTAGGTACTATAAGTCTATAAATAACAAATAGCAAATCGTTATATTAGCATTATATATTTTTAAAAAATACTGTCCTTAATTCGTTGAACCAAATAATGGACAAAGAATAATCACAGCATAATTATATATTTTGTAAGAGACCTACAAGGGTTGTGGTGGAGTAGTAAGTACTCCTTATTCCTTAATCAAGAGATTTTGGTTCGAGTTTCCTGGATCACCTTTGTTAGGGCGCACTTTACCCCTAAGATGGGACTTTCCGACACGAATCTGAATTTAGTCGAGTTTCCAATGTGAATATCTAAATGGAAAATTTTTTAAAAAAAAATTGTAATAGAACTGATCCTACTTAAACTAATTGTCAGGATATTAATATCTTTATAAATTATTTTTATGACCGCACGAAACACCAATATATACACTATTCTATAGAAAAAAAAAATAGGAAGAGACAAAATTTCTCCAATATATATTGAAGTTCGATTTTTTTGGAAAACTGTACTCGAGAAAGACTCCACCTCGTAAAATTTTTACTGGTTAAGTTGTTGTAAAAGTTTCATTTCTTCATGACCCATATATCAGAAATCAAAAACATACATATTCCGGCCATAAAATCGATAATAACTGAGTTAAACAAACATCAATTTTAACAAAAAAACTGCAAAAATTTCAAAACTCCAAATCAAATAACTTACTTTGCATCTAAATTTAAATAAATTAATCAAAATCGTACCTTAATCAGAGATCTGAAAAGTGGGTTGCTCCGAGAAAATGGCGATGATTATCAGTTACTTGTGTATATATAGTATAATATATGGTCAATTTTTGGTAAGCCAATGGTGTACTAGTGTATAGTTGCCAACTAAGAATTGAAATTATTTTTCTATAAATTTTGAAAAAAGAAAAAAGTTTTATCTTTATAAATAATTAATAATTTAATCCTTGGACTTGGAGCTTTCTCTTGTAAGGTAAGAGGAGGACCACTTAGTTACATCCGCCCCAACTCCAGCGCAGGTTGAAAATGAACGAGTTATTAGAAGTTATCGTGCGAATTTTGCTTTAAATTAAGTTTTTTTTTCATTTCGAAATTGAGAAAGATCACTCTGAAAATAGTATTGCAAATTAGACATCTCAATTTGCATTTTTTTATTGTGTTAGTTAAACACTCAAATTTATAAAATAATTATTTAAATATCTTTAAAATTTATGTATCATGTGAGTATTGGGTGTACACGAGACACTATAAAAACGAGATGAAATGTTTAGTTGTAGATGGTCTAGATATGTATTTTAAAGTTGGATATATTTGCTTGTCAGTTAAGACCAATTTTAATTGTATATTTATGTATTATGCCAAAATATTGTGATAACTATGATATTATTGGAAAAATAATTTTGGAATCTCAAAAGTCAAAAGGAAGTATTCATACTTGTGTCTAGGTTCATTCTTTATTAAGTAGTAGTTTTTAATACATTTATTGTGGTTAAATATCTTTTATTGATTAGTCATTAATCATCTTTAATTCCTCTCTAAATGACCATTTGAATAGCCATTACAATATCTTAATTCTTTCAACATTATTAAATTCATTTTTTTTCAATGACCGTTGAAAAGTTCAGCCATAAGCAACTCTTATTTTGTCTTTTTTTTTTAATCTATAAATGTCTGTCTATTTATTTGGTGGGGAAGGGAGAAAGTGAATATTCTTTCTCCAATATTCTTGTGTTTGGTTTATATTGAACCTTTGTCTGGTTTCTAGTTTTATACTAGAAAAACTTATTGAATTCTGAAAAATATATCGATATCGGGTGAAATATCCTTTAGAACAGTCTTCTGACATGTTTCAAGTTATGAAAATTCTCTATAAATGTTTGTGATGAAATATTTTCCGTAACATTTTTAATATTTGGATCAACTTAAACATAACTCAACTAATTTCACGGACTACATAATCTACTATATTGAGACAAAAAGTAATATAAGATCTTTATTAAAATGTTAACATCTAACATAGTCTTTTTTTTGTAGTGATATAGTTATGATAATAATATTGTTTTCTCTGTAATTACTTATCAAAATACATCTATATAATTGTTAAATTATGTTTAATGAAATATTTTAACAAGTTGACTAGCAAATATGATAATACGGAGAGAGCTCCATTCGGTTTTGGAGTCTTTATTTTTAATTTTTTTAATTTGAACTGCACACAATTAGTCTTACATGAAGTCTACTTATATTTTGAAAAAATAATAATAACGGAGCCCTGAAAAGTATAGTAAGAAGAAAATATATGATAAGAAATGTTACCAGAATTAATAATAAACAAGTCCTCGATTTTTTTAGAGATAAGGGTCTGAAAAATATTCCAATTTTGGTCGGATTTGTTGTTGTGATACTAAACTTTCATAAGGAGTTATTACCTCCCTAGACTATTTAATACCGTATTTTAAACATATATATTTGCCCACGTGGACATAAAAAATAATGCAAAATTATAAATAGTAATGTGTCCACGTGGGCACATATATACCTTTAAAATACACTATTAAATAGTTCAGGGGGTAAAAAAAATACGGTATTAAATAGTCTAGGGAGGTAATAGGTCCTCATGAAAGTTTAGTATCGCAACAGCAAATTCGACCAAAGTTGGGATATTTTTCAAACCCTTATCCCTAGTTGTTTCTATTATATTGATTTTTTTCTTTTCTTTTTTTGTTTTTTCACACCCCTGTGTTTGTACTTTTTTGAGTCCGACTAATTAAAATTTACGCCTAGAACTTAGAAGCATGCTCTATAAATTTTTAATGAAGTATCTAACATACTCATATTTTTTATTTATGATAATAGTGTTGTTTAATATGCATGGGATATGTGGTTGTTGTTGTATTGTTTAATGTGTAGCTTAAAATACTTTGATAAAAATACATCTATACTGTCAAATTATATTAGATGAATTAGTTTCACAAGTTGCTTTTCAGTTTCATATATATTAATATGAATTATTGAGGTGTGATACAATCAAGTTTAGGTGAAAACTTTAGTCAATTGGGATGGATTTCTCGTCCTTTCTTTTCTTGTTTATAAAAAATAGTGTTAGACTAATCGTTCTTTGAACTAATCATATACATTATTGGGATAGATGAAACTACTCCTCTGAGAATCATATATGAGACTTTCATCTCGTACAACTCAAGCAAAAACACTCAAATACTAGTTGCAACAGATATGGAATAAAAAGTTCGAAATTTATTAAGTTTTGATCCCATGAAAAATCCGAAAGCTTTCTTTGTAGCGATGAAACCAAAATATTAAGTGGCCTCTTGAATGTGTGCATACCAACAATTTCATCGGTACATACTAGCCAAAAAGACGAAATATTCCGTATATTCATCAAGATATACTACTCAAAGAGATAAGATAGCGGGTATCACGTAAAATTTTATCGAGGTGGGTGCAAATTGACCGGAAACTACGTTTATAGCAAAAAAGGAGGAAATTTTAAGTAATGAATTTATTCTGAAGCAAAAGAAACAAGAAAACACACTATATTACCTCAGAGGCTTGATACAATTGGAAATTTGTTACAATTACAGAGAACCTGTCAATCAAAATTTACACATCCTAGTATTACAATAATTACTTCACTAGTTTTTATGTATTTACAGCCTAATTCCTTTATCATTTACCTGAGCTCTCACAGGAGCTCCCTAGGTTGGACATAATATCATGAATCAACAACCTCACAATACTGCTGCCCGATGATCTTGAGATATCGACACATTCCTGCAAATCAGCATCACAAGAAATAGGAACTAACTCAAGATCATCGTCTAGATACTTGATGTCGATAGTGCCAAGCTCTAATTTAAGCCTCTTTGCTACTTCTTCCTTCAACTTAACTGTACCAGAATTTAAACAAAGCCGAAATCTTATGATGTCTTCCTTATATGTTGCTTTTATTGTAACGGATGTCACTTCAGGCCAGGCAGAATATTGTTGTATCGCGTCAGGGGGAACATAAACGGGGTCCTTGGCAGTTGCATCAGAAACAGGTGGGATTGTAAAATTGTAGTCCGGGACACGTTCATCAACCAGAGCGTCTCTAGGTAAACAAAGATTTCTCAGATCGTGAGAGCTGCCTGCATCCTCAACTAGCATTCCTCCAAATGGTTCCTGGGTGTGTTTTGGAATAATAGGCTGAGGCATTAGGAATGCAGAAGATAAGTTGATTTCTGTTGTGGTCTGGCGAGCTGCTTCCAGAGAGCCTCCCACTTTCATGCACGACTCATGTGCCGGTGAATTAACCAGCTCGTTCTGAGGGGAGAATTCATTTCCAGCACAAGGACTTCCTTGGCATGAACCATGGGACGTAGGTGTCCCTGCGCTCACTTCTCTTGAGACACTCCCTGTTCTGGACTTACGTGTGCCTTCTGCATGCAGAAAACCGTTCTGCGTAGGAGTGAATTCTTCCTTCCTGGCCACCCTGCCTCCTAGCATTTGATTTGAGGGTTCAGCTTCTATGTGACTTTCTGGTGTTCCATGGTGGGAGAACTCATTCTTCTCCCCAGGAAATACTGAAGGTTTAGACGATGGTGAACTTGGTAGATTGGAAACATTTGCACCAGCAGGCCAAGAAATTGAACTAACAGCAGCAGGAAGTGAATTTGGTGCCAGTGAAGTCAGAGTAAATGCACCTTCGGCTCCTTGAACGGATTCAATTACACACTTTAGCTTTGAAAGGGAACGATTGACCTTATTTATCTTGCGAGATGGCCATCTAGAGATCCCATGCTGCCTACATATGCGTTTCATTGTGGTAGGGCAAACTGTTGTTGCAAGAACATTGATGAGAATAGCTTTAAAAAAAAAAAGGAAATAAAAGAGATACGTTTATATAAGCGATTTGGTCAAAAAAAGTATTTCAAATTGAGAACATACCCCCAAGACTCTTTGCAGCATCCTTGAGACTTCCAGCAAAATACTGCTGCAAAACCTCTAAGCTAATTGTTTTCTCAGCTTTTCCACGTTTTCTCTCTGATTTCTTTCCAGACGTTTTATTGTCGGAGTTAGATACATGGTTAGGGGCTTCACCTGTACCACTTGTGCTCCTTGCACCTTTAGAAACATTGGATCCTACTGCTGACTGCTGCTCTCCCACTGGATCAAGGTGCATCCATCCATTTGGTAAACTAGTCAGTTGAGGAGAAGTTATTGGTGTTGGTACAGATTCAGGCTTTGCGTCAATTTTCTCTTCCATGGAAGCCTGAATAATCTCAACTGAACTCCAGTCATGCTCAAGTTCCCCTCCGGAAGCAATGCTGAGACTCCTGAAGTGCTGCTTCATTGTCAATAAGAGTGAGTTAAGCAAAGCCTGCTGGTCACTGTAATCCCCAGAATTCGGTGGCAGAAAAAATTCCAGAATATAATCATCATTGGCTGTGTGACTGCTCCGTAAGCATATTGCAAAACAACTGGTCAACCCAAACATGCGTGCATAATGTACCAAAGGGTACTCGGTTTTGCAAAATTTTGTGATGTCTTCACAATAGCATGATTTTCGTGAAGCGTATGCTCTTCCAGCAACTCCCTGTCCCCTTTGTAAATGATGCTCCGCACAGGCATCACGGAAACCCCACATGTGAGCATCAACCACATAAAATGCTACATCTGTTGTGGACATACAGATCTGTCCCATGCAGCTCCCATCGAAACTACTGCAGCTCTTTTTCAACCCACCACCATCAGCCAGAACACTGCGATGCCTGCATGGAACCCATGTCTGAGCCAGAGGCAGTTTGTATGTTTCACATACTGCAGTTAGTATCTCCAAGATGTCAACCAATGCATTCTGCCGGCCTTCATTGCAGATCTGGTTCATATACCCCATCACATAGACCTGTTCAGAAAAATGATTAAACAACCACTTAACTGAGAAAATTATACACAACTGTTCCTCACCTGAGTGTTTGGGTGGTCCAATATATCTGAACTTTTCAAATTTACAGCCTGCAGAAAGTAGAATTAGATTAGCCCAAGAGAGCTCATCTCGAAAAAAGTAAAGGCAAGAAAAGATGATGAACACATTTGGTTTAGATGAAAGACGTGCTTATCTACTCAAAAAAATTTAATACCCTACATAAGTAACCACAAAAATTGGTTTTACTCTTGCAGATAGATGTCATGCCATGTGAAGACTGCACAATACATGTCCAAATGCACCTTTGAAAGCCAACAACCCTATCAAATAATTCCTATTGAGTGCACGATTGAATTGTGAACAAGTTTCCAACAAACAAAATCTCAGCCTCTCATGGTACAATAGATGCTATAAATGGCTGGTTCTAACACTTTCTCATACAGTTAATGCAGAAACACAAGATCCAATATCATCGAAAGATAGGACATCTAACATGAGATATGTGAATTAAAAATTTTACACAAGGGTTAAAAGAACCAACCTCCAGTGCTTTGCATACTTTATCCACCTCAGCAGCATAGTTGATCTTCTGGGAGGTCATTATGAGTTCCAGTACACCAACACAAGATCGTCCAGAAGGTTCAAATACAGGCAGCGCTAAAGTTCCTCGAACATTGTAATGCAGAGCATGATCAAGCCGAGGGAACTCTTTACTGGAGTAGTATTGCACATTTGGTGTCCATTCAGGCAACTTAAGGCGGAAGACACGGCCCGGAAGTCCAAGAACTCCATCAGTCTCTCCATCCGCAGCAAACATATACATCAGAGAAACCGTTCGATATTGATGAAGCCCATTACACTCTGGGTCAAGAACAAAGGGCTGCCCTGAAGTTGTGAGTACAGACCGACCAGCTTCCTTTACAGGTGCCCAGACCTGAGCTAAGACTCGCTCTCCTGTGGATTCCTTTAAGTATCGGAGCGCTTGTGTCATCCTCTCCTTGATTATACAAGACCCATCTGGATTATCTCCAGGTATTAGTCCTGAAATTGGTGAAGGAAGTCGTCCCTTATCAGCGTTGACAGAGACAGTTTCAGTTGTACCTTCTATATCACCAGTGTCTGCTCCAAAAATGGAAGGCAAATAGATTACTCTCTCATTGTGTGTTCCCAGCCAATGATGCACATTCAACTCATTTATCCCATTTTCACAGGGACAAACTAACAGAAAGTTCATACATCACAAGGCAAAGCTACTCATGGAGAATCTAATTATAGAAAGACTACAACTAGTTCATTATAAAGTTCAAGATGGAAAAAAGTTCAACTCTTGTATATCCCACAATCTAAGCTATTGGGAAAACAATTGCACAAGAGTGACAGCATAGCTTTAATGTTTTACTATGCGAAGTCATCTTTTTCTCTTTTTTTTTGATAAGTACTATGTGAAGATTCTATATGCTTATAATACTAATTCATCAAGAAAAAGCAGACTCAGTTCACATTCTATTCTTATCTACAGAGACGAGAAATATTTCTACATATTTTGTTCATCAGTAAGCAAGAGTATTCATTACAAGAAGTACTTTTTACATTGTATTAACACTCTGATGTCCAGCATGTTCTTTATCTACTATATGATTGCTAAACAGAGATGGGCACAACTCCGCAGAAACTTTCCTGCTCTAATATATATTCACAGGTTGTTTACACTAAACCAATAAATAAATGTGTCTTTCTTTTAATTATCACTCAACCAATGTCCCTAATATTAAGATATGATTTGCATATGATGTTACATTAAAATCTACGAAAATAAAATTATTTTCATACCTATTTACATATTTTTATAATCTTAAGTAATATAGTAGCATCTATGTTCATAAATTATGAAAGAACAAAACCACATGATCCCTAATCAAGGAAACAAAAATGGAAAGAAAATGAAGAAAACAAATCTAACTAATCTCACTATGTAATTATTGCTCTCCCTAGAATCAAATTCGGTAAACATGATGTGAATAAAAGGGTGGGAATAAGTAATGTCTTCAAAATAATATTCTCTAAACTGAATTTCAATAGATTCAATTCAGATTGTGCAAATATGGTATCCAATTCTGCAATCTTTCTTTTCTGAGAAGAATTAAAAAAAAATGGTGGTAGCGGAAAGGGAAATGGTGGAGGAGATTACAAGGTGGAGAATCGAACCCACCAACAAGGTGAAAGTTCAATTAACCAACCAATTAACTGAGCTACTAAGATTTCCCAATTCGGCAATCTTTCAGCTTTCCATTGTTTCTGTTTCTGCAAAAGCTAAAGTTTGCATACTTTTAAAAAGCTTTTGCTTGCAGAAGTGTTTGTTTGATACTGTTTTTTCTAATCAAAATTAGCAAATTTAAGTCTTTTTTTTGTAAAAACTAAATCAAATGCTACCTAAATTTGAAAAAGCCTAAAAAGGTCACCTAAATTTGCAGCAAGAACAAAAAGTCAACTAACTTTACTCCAAAGTTTCTCAAATGATTTCTCTAAACCAAAACAGCTTAAACCAAACCAAAGGCTTACATACAAGCGACAAATCTAGGGTGGCCGGAGATACGTAGAGCACCGGAAAGTCCATTTCCGGCAGGTTTTTCATCGTTATCATCGGAAAACGCCCAAAGAGGAGAACAAGGCAGGAACGGAGACGCAGGATTCGATGAAACCGCCGCAGCAGCAGCAAAAATCTGATCAAAAGACCAGGAAGCGTCAATATCGAAATCGAGATCCATCATCATCGACTCTCTCTCCGTCACCGGCGCCGTCGACGCCGTATGCGGCAGAGGAGTCAACTCCTTTGACTTCGGAAGGTGATTTTGAGTCATTCCTCCTTCCGGTTCCGACATTTTTGTTCAATTTTTTCTCCAGAATTTTTGCTTTTTTCACAGAGATTTTGTATGTGGCGAGTGGAGAAGAAAGGGAAAATATGTTTAATGGCAATTGGCTGAGTCTGATTCTATAATAAGAAAAAAAATAAACTTGGAATCTAATAAATTGCAACTTGCAAAAAGTATAAGGGATTATTCTATGTATCAAATCACTATCTACTATATCGTATCAAAATCAGATACGAATTCAGAATTTAAAGTTCACGTTATCAAAATATATTCGAAAAAGTTACTTGTTTATCATTTACCTTTATGATAGAAGCAACTTATCAAGATTCATATATTCTTTTTACTTTTTCACTCGAAATCTGATATGCATGTAATTTGATTTCGCATTGTATAATTTATTTATTTATCTCCATTTTCATGGGATTGAACTCGCCCAGTTGCGTGGCTAGATGAAGGATTATTTTATCCTGTGTTGAGATTATTTATCACACCATTTATAACTAAATGATGAGATAAGCTATTCATTTATATGATGGGATAATTTATTCCGAAATAATTAATTTCGGAATAAGTTATTTGAAAGGGAAATTTCTGATGTATAAGCTCTTATTTCTGTTTTTTAATTTAAAATTTCGTGCAAATTACAGGAAGGTGGACAGATAAAGAAATTGCTTTAGGAGACCCATTAAAGGGAACCAAAAGAATTTTTTAAGCAAAAAAGTGATTTTCAATAGTGACGTAATCGTTCATAGAAATTTTAAAATAATCATATTCTTTCTTTTATTTATTTTTCTTAATTTTAAAATTAATTTGTAGCTGGTCGAAAAAGACATCCTCATTTATAATAAATTGATGACTTGAGGAAACATTGTATTATTTTCCCTCTTTAATTTTATCTAGTTTTTAACTTTTTAATCATTCGACTAGCTCTGAGAAATTCCATATTGTAAAATATATTCTAAAAAAGAGGATTATGTACACAATAAGACTTGAACATAATTTTTTTAATTAAGGATAAATAAGTATTTACAATCAAATTACATTCTTAATTAAAGATCTAAAATTTCAAATCTTAAAATGATAATTATCATGAATAGAAACACTTTCCTTAATAAGTCTTATTCAGCTCAAATTCAAATTACTATAAACCCCAAATAATATCAAAGATAGGATGAAAAAAGAGAGACAATATACCATGATTAAAATCTCAAAAGTGTCCTTTGGATGACTCAATTGGTTTAGAGGATGGTCATTCACATGGATGACTCGGGATTGATTCTCCCTCAATGACTTCTGAGTCTAGCATATGCCTATCACATAGGGCTTGTCTAGTACGATTTACATTCTCATGTCAGTCATGTGTGGTTTGCAAGCTATTTTATGCGGATAGAATGTATGCAGATTTTATCGCGGTCATAAAGAAATAATAAGTAGATAAAAAGTTGTTTGTTTTAAATAATTTAGTTCTTTTTGGGACTTGATGATTTAGTTGTTTTTCTAAATATTAAATTTTATTGGCTTTAAAAAAAAACAAGTGGCGAGAAATCAAAATAAGAAAATGGAGTCTGTTAGTATTCCTTATTCATATTTTTTATTATATATAAAGGAAAATTATGTAAAGTCATTATTAAATAATAAAAAGTAAACCTACTTTACTACTCTTGAATGCTTCATTACTGTGGATGGTGATTAGTTAGCTAATCTTTTGTTAATAATATAACACTTCAATTAACTCCATTTGATCAGTCTTATATATATATACACACAACTATAAAGTATCCAAAATTCTAATTGAATTAGACTAAGATCAGTGAATTCTTAATTAGTCATTTATTGAATAATAAATACAAGTATTTAGAAATCTTCGATTTAATTGTTTTTCATGAATATTGAATGAGTGTGTAAAATAGGTAATTAAAAGGAACTTTATTAATAAAAGAAAGACTTTCGATAATTATAGCACTAGTTCCATTCTCATGGGAAGAGAAAACACAAATTTATTACCATCTACTTAGTAAGAGAACAAAAATTGATTTAACATGATTTTATATATATGATATGATGGTTAAAATAAATATATAATTAATCTCAATCATTTGGAGCAAATATTGAAAAATCCAATTTGGAGTAGACTAGAATTTGAGGACCCCATTAAAATTGTTGTATAAGGGGTCCATATTGATGATGAAAAACTCAACATTTATAAGTTGTCCACCCAATAAAACTATTGTTAAAAATATGAATATTAAAAGTTTTTGTTTGATTAATTTGAATTCAATCGAAATATTTTATTTCAGAAGATATCACACTTTCTATTAAATATGACTTCATTTTCAAAGATTAAACCTATGGTCTAAAATGGTAAGCTTGTCAAGTTAGCGTGCTTCAAGTTGCTCAATTAAAAAAATGTTAGTTACGAGAGATGTTAAGAAAGTATAAGAATAATTTTTTTAAAAAAAATTTATTAAAAGGTGTAAAATATTTCTTATGAGACTGATAATATGGAGTATTAATTGAAAACAGCTCTTGAAAATAACTTAAGAATTTATATATATAATAATAATAATGTAGAAACTTCACTAAATAAATATAAATAACAAATTTCAAATCCAACAGAACACATAACTAATTTGGAGAATTCAAATTCAAATGCACAAAATTCATATTCTAAATTCGTCTCCATTACTAACTATTGGAATTTGAAGCTCAAATCTCTAAATTGTCTTAATCCATGAAAAAAAAAGTGTTTTCTCCACCTCCATTTTGGTCTATGAAAGTTACATATTATTATTATTATTATTTTATTTTATTTCTTAATTTATTTTTTATATGTAACTTTCATACACCTAAAAGGACCCACGAGAAATGAAATAATAACGAGCTTTTGCGTCATTTAAATTTATATTCCAAAATGTTTGAAGAAAAAAACGCATTTACTCATTTACTTTTAACTTAGAATCATTAAAATAAAATAAAAAACTTAAAGCATTATTCTTGACTGCAAATAAGGTTTTGGAATTCTAGTGTCACTAGCTCTATAATTACTGTCCTAATCATATCACTAGTCTATGCATTAATTCTGTAAAAAAAAATAATCTATAATTAGACCACTTATTAGCCCAGGGGATCTAAAATTTATAATTTAAAAATTGTTATAACAACCTCAAGTTAATACTACAATCATATCTGAATTTATATTCAAATATTTAATAAAGTATTTAATAAATTTATAAATATGTGTGTTATGTAAATTTCTATGATAAACATTAACTGACATACAACTTGATAAAAATGTTAATCTATATTGATAGTGTGAAAAATATTCGTAATGTTACTATATATATATAGCCTGTTTGACATTGCTGCTAAAAACTGCTTATTTTCATAAGCACTTTTTTTAAAATAGCTTTTTAGGAAAGTGCTTTTGAAAAAAAAAAACAATTGTGTTTGACTAATCTTTTTTTTAAAGTGTTTTTGAGAGTCAAATTACGATAAAAGACAAGTATTAATACTGTTTTAATATTAAGATTATTTTATAGAGAGAAACTAGTTTAAACACCTATTACAAAAATTAAATTAAATTTTTATTTTTATTAAATAAAAATGTTCATATTTAAATTTTCAATCAATATAATACATTTTTTTGAAGAGTTGAAATCTTTAATTGTTACTTTTTTCTTTTTTCTAATCTTGCAAAAAAAAATTGTTGTTACCTTTTTTTTTCAATTATTAAATGGAACTTAACCAAGCATATGAAATATGTTTAATAATAATAATAATAATAATAATAATAATAATATA